CTACTGATATCTTAAGATGAGAGAGCGACACAGATTAAGCTATTTTAACCTTTCCAAATCGGCAGTGACTATCCTCATTGAAACGCGCAATCTGTACTCATTACATCTATGGTAAAAACCGTTCTCGAAGAAATTATATCACATAAAAAATATACTTCGCTTTTATTTCCTTCGTTGTAAAACTTATTCGAAGTCAAACGCGTCCGTCGTATCATATAAAATATTAATTTCGATAGTTTTAATATGACTAAGATGGAAAAACATATGCATTAACATGGCAATAACACGTGATTATAGATAAAGTAATTGACGTAATAACACCTTCTCATCACCTTCTTATCGTCTTCTCGTTCACGTCGTCGCTGCTTCATCACGTTTGATGTGCCCCAGACATTAGATTTCTAAGTGACCCGGGGATTCAAATTGCAAAATGTCCGTCGACACGTGTAACAAAGTCACGCACTGCATTTTCGATATGGACGGTTTGTTGCTCGGTAAGTGTCGAGACAGATCAGACTTCTTTCCTTTCGGCCATGCGACTCGGTAATTAGTCCTTTCATCCCGTTTCATTTCAGACACGGAATATCTGTACACCAAGGCCTTCAACCGTATCACCAATCGTTACGGCAAGGAGTGGACGTGGGAGCACAAAGCGCACACGATGGGCTTCAAGACCAAGAACGTAGCCGGCTACGCGGTTAAAACGTTGGAGTTACCTTTAACAGCCGACGAATTCATGCAAGAGATTACTGGGATCTTTCAGGAATTATTTCCGCAAGCCAATCCCATGCCAGGTAACACTCTATATATACATCAAAACACGTCGTTGATATCTGACGATTCATAATTTAGTTGGATTATCGAGCAGCAATATCTATTATACAATACCGCATGTGCATTACGTAGGCGCCGTTCGGTTATTGAAACACCTGAAAGAGAGCAACGTTCCGATTGCGTTGGCCACGAGCTCGGATCGCGGGAACTACGAGTTGAAGACCCGGCGTTGGCGCGACCTCTTCGACCTCTTTCATCACAAAGTGCTCGGCGGCTCGGATCCCGAGGTCGCGCGCGGGAAACCGGAGCCCGACATATTTTTCGTAGCTGCCAAGCGTTTCCCCGACAATCCGGATCCTTCGAAGGTAAGAGCCTTGATCTTCGAAGACCGGTCGTTTAACTGTCAAGTACAGCATGTGAAATCATTTTTAATAAGGCTTTACTCGGACTATATTTCAAGAGTGATTAAAGCTCAAAAGAGTCAATTGTCTGCAGTGTCGTAATATTACAAAAATTTCTTTTCAGTGTCTGGTCTTCGAGGATGCGCCGAATGGCGTGAAAGCGGCACTTAAGGCTGGCATGCAGGTCGTTATGGTGCCGGATCCGATGCTTCCGAAACAATACACGAGCGAGGCGACCCTGGTCTTGGACAGCCTTGAAAAGTTTCAACCGGAGAAGTTCGGACTACCGCCGTACGTGACATAGTGCACCCTCCTCCGAGTTTATCGCATGTGACGCGGATTCGTGGACGAGATACGTATATGCACGGAATCATCTCAGTAAAAAAAATAATTTAATATGTAGGTTCCCTTAATCGCCTCTCTTCCGGTCTTGCCGGATTTGTATCTTAACTGCGCTCTCTCCCTAAACTTCTTTATCCGTGTCGTCGGACAGATCTCCCAGTTCGTCGAAATCCTCCCGCGAGCCAGGACTGATAAACATTCCCGCGCTATTGGCGCCCGCGGCGCTGCTGAATATTCCTGTGATATTTACGCACGAGAACTTGTTTCGCTTCAACTGTCTGTCAACTGCCTCTTTCAGTGTGCTGTACGCGGCTATCATATCCCGTGGACATTGAGACAGCATATCTGAAAAAAAAA